TCTCTATTTCTGTTTTTAAAGACGATTTTTTCAACATGAAAATGTTTCTTTATACGAAACATTGAAATATTTGAAATTTTTATCTTTAAAAAAAATAATACTGTTTCTAAAAAACTTCTTTATATAAAATTTTATATTAATTTCAGATCATATATTCTCCTTATCTCTCCATATATTTTGTTACAATGGGCTTTAGAGTTTTAAAAGTTACAGACAATAATTAATCTGGCGATAAATTATTTCATTAGCTTTCTGAGGTATTTTACAGAGGGAGGAGCTGATTCCTCCAAGATTAATAATTTCACCTTTACATTAAACATGTTAGAGCTACTTTTGTAGGCAGTTTCTGCTGATCTAGCCCCCAGTGTATCAGCACAGATGCCTGAAAAGGTGAGTGCCTTCAATCACTTCAGTTCCATACCTGATTAATATAGAATGTATATGTTATCTATGTTGCAATAGAAGTAGCAATATAAAGAAAATGCAGAACCCTTGGATTGTTCGACCTACAAAAAGCCCCAGACATGTAACTTAGTGGTGAGCAGTCATCTTTGTTTGCTTCAGGATTGGATTGCAGGTCAGGAATATAAATGCTGCTTTTTCTATTCCCACTCCAGGTGTATAAAGCTGACATAAACCCAGCTGCATTTATGTTGAAGGATTTATTATCTGAGAATAATCTGCACAAGATTCTTTGTGACTTTCATAGATCATGTGAACAAGAAAAAAGAAGATAAGGATAGCACCTATTTAAATTTAGTGGATAATATGAGATAATCTGAGTTTTCCAGTCAAAGTACCATTTTAATGTCTATTTCAAGGCTTGGACACACTTCACAATTTTTTTTATCCTTCTGTTTAACCTCAGGAGAATTGCCACATCTGTAATTTCCAAAAATGCATAAGCCTTTCACTGCTAACAGACTTCTCATCCTAAGTCAATTAAGTGCTTACTGAAAGTTCTGCCAAGAGTTTTCTTCTAAAGTCTGTTTGCCTTTTCTTTAAGTTTCAAAAGCAACACTTTATCATATGATATTTTAAAAATATGTCTATGTACAGGATTTGGATCTCCTATATACTACATTAATACAAATAATTAGAATAAAATCTTAATATCCACATAGTTATTTTGTGGAACGTGTCTGTTTTTAGAGCTGAATTAAAGTTTGCAACTTTGTTTAAAAAAGATAAAATTAAACTCCTCCTATACTCTTATTATCAGAGATATTCATTCCCTCACAGTACTCATTATTCCAGTAGGACTTTAAAAATTAAAATTATGAAACATGTTTGTAACATTTATTAAATACTAGCATAATCTTCAGAATTGACATGCAAAAATTTCCAGTGAATATTCAGCAAAAAAGCAGTCAATGGCTTCCACATTTTTCACGTCTTCCATCTCATGTGTACGTTCATCAGAGACCTCATTTGTTAAACATTACCTGTCCTTAAAAAAATAATGAGCATGTCTAAAGCAGTTTGAACAAATCACACATTCAACCAGCTACTTGAAATTTTTATATGTTTTTGCTAAAATATTTCAACTATCTTACAACATCAGTTGCATATAAAAAAATGAATTCCAGTCAAGACATATTGAAGAATTACGGGTTTTGAAATAAAAATCTTGCAGAATAAAACCATTGACAGGAAATTCTTATTAATTAAAAACATTCATTAGCACTGTAGTATGTATGCTGTTTCCCCACCCCCGCCTTTGTGTCAGCTATCACTACAATATATTTTGAATATTGTCTCAGAATCACACTTCTTATCACAGAATAGACATAGCTTTGAAGGAAGACTATCCCTAGGCAGAGACTTCAGGTGAATTTCTTTATGTAACACAGGAAAAACACCTGGATTCTCTCTCTTTATCTGAAATAGGTGCCCAGCCTTGGCCTGTGTGGGCATACTTGCAGAAGGATGTCCCACCTGAAGGCATCCTGTGGGTTCCCTGCGCTTGGAAGAGTTCAAGTCCAGGTCGAGCCTGGGAAACCTGATATAGAGGGTGGCATCCCCCCCATGGCAGATGGGTTTGGAATTCCATGATCTCTAAGAAACCCTCAAACCCAAGCCATTCTTATCCAGTGAGGATCCAGACCCTCATGCCCAAAAGACTGAAACTATTCCCACAGAGCAAAGGACCCCAAGACCAGTTCCAGTGCATGGGACTCCCAAATTATGTAAGAGGGGAAGGGAGCAGAATGACAGCTCTGTGAGTTTTGAGGCTTCCTGGGAAGAAAAGAAAATTGAGCTTTTGAATCTTGCAGAGAACAGGTCCTATGAGGTGCAGCTGAGGGAAACAGGGTGGTTTATCCTGGAGAAAAGGAGGCACAGAGAGTTTGCTCTGTCCAACTAGCCAAAAGAAGGTTGCAGCAATGTGGGGTCAGTCTCTTTTCCCAGGTAACAAGTGACAGGAAGAGAAGTCCTCAAGTTGTGCCTTTCACAGAAAGGATTCTCAGGTAAGGATGCCCAGGAAAGTGGTTGAGTCTTCATCCCTGGAGATAATTCAAAGACATGTGGATATAGCATTTAGGAAAGTGGTTTAATGGTGGACCTGAAAGTGTTAGGTTTACTGTTGGATTCAATAACATGAAAGGTCTTTTCCAATCTAAATGATTGTATGTTTCTAGTCTATGACCTCACATTCTGCATTGCAGTAGATGAGTTTTCTTTGACGAATGTTGCCAACAGCAGGCAGGACTCCTGCTGAAGTTTTTCCTCAGATCTATGCACCTGCAGAACATATTTCCAGCATAGAGGATACCTTAATATATTAGAAACTTAGGAAAAATGGGCAAAGTAAATCTATTATATATACCCAACGTGTGATTTGTGAACTCACAACTTGGTCAATTTAAAACAAATGTTTATTAGAGCATGCAGATGCACTTTTCCACAGAAAGAGGTCTTCCATGCCAGGTTTCATCACTTGATGCCAGCAGCACTGGGAGTGTTTCTGTTAAAAAATAAATAAATAAATAAAAAGGTAGCAACTGGGTTTTTTTGCTTTGCTTTCTTCTTTTAGTGTGAGAGAAACATATTTCACTCTTTATCACAGTGCTCTAAAAATTGGTTAATTTAGGTGTAAAGATAAACAACAAGCCTGTGGGATGAGATCAGATCTAGAAAACTGTTTGTTAAAGTTTGAAGTTTAGGAAAGGGAAGGGCAAGTGAAATATGTGCTTTGAGGTGTCATTGCAGTTACTGCTTTCTGCAATGAAAAAGAGATTTTCAGCAGACCCTTTTGAAACACACTAAAAATTTTGAAAATGCAAGGAAAGCCACAGATTTCACTTCTTTTATTTAATTTTCAAATCCTCAGAATTTATTTAAATATTTTGATTCTGATTGAATTACAGCATATCCCTGCACTTTAAGGGATCAAAATACAAAGGGGTTGGATGGTTTTGTGCACACTAGGGAATGTGTGCACAGAAGGTCAGATATTACAGATGTTCCTTACTTGAGTCTCTGTGTACCAAAGGGGAAAAGCAAACTCCCTGCAAATCTTCTCACACACACAAATATTTATATTGGAGAGCAGACTGAAAGAAGAGAAAAACAGAAATGATTTTTAGCTAGGTGACCACAAGATTTTAACAATTTTAAATCCATCAAATGAGATAGATTTAAAAAGACAGCAGTCTATAAATATAGAGGCTTGAAATTCTTGTCACTAATGGATACTGTGTTTATCATTAAGTATCTCCACTTGTAATAACACTGAGAAAAATGCTATTATGCTGCCAAAAAGATGAAATACTATCAGCAGCAGCAGAAGCAGAGGTAATATCCCATGTAAAAAGGAAACAAAAAAAGAGAAACCACAAACCCCTTGGTGTTTTCTACTTCCTATCTCCCCTAAAAAAAAAAAAAAGAGGTTTTTTTTAACAAGTATTCTGCCACAGCAACAGACTGTGAGGCTTAAGAGATTGCACATACATTCTCTTTTTAGTACCAGTTTTACCTATAGATAAAATTATAGTTATTATTCCACGTGCATATATCAAGGTGCCATGCGTTCACAGAGGATGAAGAGGACAAAGTCCTTGGAGGGGCTGCAATTCTCTTTGTCTACTACCCTGGCCAGGAAATGGGAGCTAGATGGGATAGTATGTCCACAGAAAATACCTGCTTAAATCACAGAAGCAATCTTGCTTGGGGTGATTACTCAACTGTGATAACCAATATGATGACAGCTCATGGTGGTTTTTTTAATATCCAGATTGTTTTAAATCTACATAGTTTAGTGGACTATTTTTAAATTTCTGTATCACACATTATTTTAGTTTATTCAGATTAATACACCATGTCAGCAGCAGCAGAATGTGGAAAACGGAATAATGACAACTGATTATTACAGTTTAAATCTAAATTGTAATTCCCACCGAACTGTGATTATGTCAGTAAATGAACACGGAAGACCAAAAATATTTTTTAAAAATAACATTGGAATTTCAAGAGAAGCCAACTGTTCATACTTTTTTAACCATGAAAGGCCTATTTCAAGATAAACAGAAGAGAAATTGTAAGAAATGTTAACATTACATTAATTACCTGTAACATTATACCACACCTTGTTCCCAAACACAGGTCCTGGAAGGTTTTTTTATGACCAATACTATGACCACTTACTCAAGAGAAGGGGACCTGTGTGTCCTGGGGATACAGGCTCAGTGTGAGTGAGTGGTGCTGCTGGGGCACAGAGAGCCAGCAGGCGCTGGGCTGCATCAACAAGGGATCACCACAGAGACACAGAAGTCACTGTGCCACTCAGTGCTTGTCAGGACACACCTGGAACACGGTTTAGGCTCACACTATGCAAAAGGATGTGGACCCAGAGAAGGGCCAAAAAGGTGATCCAAGGACTGCAATTTTGTCAAAGAAGGTGTAAATAGATCATACTCAAGGTCTCTTCCAACCTGGTATTCTATGAGTCTATGAAAAGAGTAATAGCACAAATTAGACACAAGCCTTGCAATTCAAACTATAATCTGCAGATTCAAACAGACATACTATCAACGGTACACACAAAACTGGGCTTGCAAATTAGAAACTTCTTTTGGAAAATAAGGCCCACTTTAAAATGTATTCATAATGTTCTAGCTTGATGAATTTTAGTAGAATGGTCTAATACTATTTGTTTTAATATTGAAGGAAAATACCAGTTCTCTCCAAAACTTTTTGAGAAAAAAAGAGAGTAGCAGCTGATCACTGGCTTCAGATTTTAGTTTTTATTTTTTGTGATCTCAGTGAGGTAGAAGATGGATCCTTTAACAGATGAGAACAGCTTCAAATACAAAGAAGTGCAGGGAAACAAATCTTGACAATTTTAGTTGTAGTTTGCTTTTAAGTTCTTAGATTTAAGTGACCCTGAAACACAAGCAGGGAAAAAAATCATGAACCAGGTTACCACACATTGGAACTATGGTTGAGCTTCCATTCTGTGATACAATGGAGAAATATGCTTGACTATGATAGATATCTTTGCATTAGAGAAAAAGCTGGGGCTGTGGGTTTTGGTTTTGTTCTGTTTTGTTTTAAAAAAAGCATCTGACCTTTCTATAAGAAGACAGTCTTTGTGTCTTGAACTTTATGGATACACTGAGGCTATTGTTAAGCTATAAATAATATACTTTTGAGAACAAGTTTTACTTAGTTTAAAGCTAAAACTTTTTTCTGAGTACATCAAAGCACTTGGCATATGTTGATATCAACTCTTTCAGGTAAAATATTTACCTAATAGATTAATTATGAAAGCACTAATTATTCTATATTTCTGTAAGGCAAACTGTTTCTGTCTGGAATAGCTTTATAATTCTGACCTAGTGAGGCATTTCTGTCAGGAACTAAAAATTAACATACAAATTCACTGAACCATTAGTGAACTTTGATGTTTAAATTCTTTCTGCTATGAAATGGGATCATCTTTTATTTCATGAGTAATCTTTGATGTTGGCAGTTACACAAATAAATTAGGAAAATCCCAGTGACAGGAATAGTGTTGATGAATTATCATATTGTACGAATAATTTCTTAGAAGTGACTGACTCACCACAAATAAATTTATGGTTCATGCAAATTCTTGCTAAATTAACCTGGGCATGTACGTTGCCTAAGCAGTACCCTATAACTACTGNAGTACAGAAAAGACTGACTCACCACAAATAAATTTATGGTTCATGCAAATTCTTGCTAAATTAACCTGGGCATGTACGTTGCCTAAGCAGTACCCAATAGTTACTGCACAGATATATGGGGAAGTAGAAGACATAGCTTTTTAGGAGGTGACTTACCATTTCTTTGAGATGATGACCTCTGTTTCATTCAGTGTGCTATCATACTTTTAAACTCGAATGCAGGTTGCAGACAATACAGAGCAGAGCAGCAAGCTTGTTCAACATCTTTTTCTGTTGTGCAGTTTAAAGTCAGAGCCCAAAACCTTGACTTTGCCTCAAATATTTTTATTAAATTGTCTAATATTTATAAACCTTAAGTAACAGAATCAATTAATCTCATACTTCCTATGAAACACTGCAAAATTGGACATGGCCTATGGTCAAATGCTATACTGGCGAGAGGATAGAAAACATGCCCCTCTTTTCTGGAATTTTCTTCCTAATAAAGAGGAGGGCACAGTTTTGGCTTTTAGGTCATCATAAATTTCAGAAAAGCTTATAGCTTTAGTAATCAAAAGTCTTTGCACTGAGATGATATTAAGCATGAACTGTTCTCACTCATGTCTTCCCCACGCTGGGTTGTTCTTGTGGATCTTTGTTCCTACCACAGAAGGAAGCAATAAGCAAATTTTAGGATCTTTTCACTTTCTGAAGAGAGCTGGAAGGAAAAAAATTACATCTACATTAGAGTTTTAGTTTGGATTCACTTTTGAAGTGCATCTCCTGACTTACCATGCTTGAGTTGGCACCATGGAGTGAACTCTCAGTGTTTAAACTACCTTTGGGTATTCTTCCAGGATAATGATGATGTGTTGTCTGGAAATAAATTGAAAGTTTGGAGTATTCAGCTCAGGAGGCCAGACAAAAATTACTCTCCTTGAAACATGCATTGTGCAGGCATAAGGTCCTCGCACCTGTTCTCTTTTTCTACATCATATTTTTGAACCATACTAATTACATTATTGCTTGGGTAGTCATAGCTGATAAATTCAAGGAGTGATGAAATATTAGGGGATATATTGGGTTGGTTGGTTGGCTTTTATTTTCAGTATTTCAAGTCTTTTGTTTCCTGGGACATATGCAAATAATTTGTCTCAAGTTTTGATTTATGAGGGATTTACAAGCAATACTAGTTTTGGATATTCTGTTATATCTGCTACTGTAGCAGCTCCTTCCCTTATTTGGTAATTTTTAACATTGATTTGCTCATGTATGTGGTCTACAGCACAGGTCAAGGGGTAGTACACATAGGAGGGATGTGAAAATTTCTTAATCAACTGCCAAAATAAATACATTCCTCCTTCAGTTTTGAATGAATCATATGACTTTATCGGGTGATTCCTCCTATTTAACATTATTTTTTTACTCCTAAATTTTAAACAGCCTAAGATAATGCCTCTTCTCTTTATATAATCTATTATTGATTTTTTCCCATTCTCCCCAAATGTAAAATCACAGGCACTGCCTCAGACCAGATTAATTTCTGTACTAGTAGTGTCTTGACCTAATTCTGCTGATTATGTCCTGAAGTTAGTTTTATTTCTCAGTATTTCTAATTTGTTTGTCCCAAAACACTCCTGTTATAAAATCTAGGCCTAATTATATGAGGGAAAATAGCGGAAATAGAGACAATAAGCTATTTGCCCACTGACACTTAAGAAGTCAATGACACTTTTCTAAGTGAGTTTCCTTTGTTTTTCTTCTTCAGCTCTCCTTGCACTGCAATGTTATTTCCTCAACCCTCTCTTACACATCAGACAAAAATTCCAATTCAAATTTGATTCTGTTTCATTACTCTATATCAATATCTGAATTGTAGCCTCCTTTTTTGTTCTTTGTGAGAGCCCAGATCTGAACTTTACTTTGGCACTTTGAAATGGCACTTTGGCTGGAGTCTCTGGATCTTCCTGAACTATTCAGTAACCTAGATTGTTTCTCGAGTTCTACATGCTATATTAAAGCATAATATTAAAATACTCTGTACTGAAAATAATATTAAAATAGTTCATTTTTAAGTTCAGATTCCTTTTTCTTGATGCTGTTTTTCTCTGGTCGTAATTAACAGAGGTATCTTCAGGGTCAAAAATATATTTGAGTTTTTGAAAAACACTTTCTAATTCCATTACAAAAATAATGCAGGTACACAAATCATTGCATTCCTTTTAAATATTGCAATAGAAAACGAAATCAGTTCCTTAATTTATAGAACCTAAAATAGAATAGTTCACTTTCAAAGGAGAAGAAACAAAAATAAATAGAATGAAGCAAGTAAACCAACAAACAAAAAAGACCCGTCAACACTTTTACAGGAATACTTTTTCTGCTTACTATACAAATAGCAACCCATACAATTCTCTTTCATTCTTCAG